ACAGCAAGATTCTTTTAAACAAAGTCAGGCTGTGTTGCTTCTCTGCTTAGGTCCATGGCTTCCATTTCACTGAGATTGGGATCCAAGATCCTTTATGTTCTGGCCCTCAGCACGCGCTCTGGCCTCCACTTTCGCTGCTCTCCCCTCCCTGATCCTGCTGAAACCACACTGGTTCACTGACTATACCTTGAAAACTCCCAAATACCCCTCCTCAGAGTCCTTGCATTTATTGTTCCCCGGGACAGGGCTACGCCTGTCCCCCACTTCCATCTGGTCTTTCTTCTAATGTAACCACAGCAGCAACCCCTCAGCTTCCCAGCCCACACTCCCCTTTTCCCCCATAGGACCCACCACTGGCATCAGTTTTCGTGTGTGCCTTCTTCCTCCCTAGCCATAACCTCCAAGAGAGCAAGGACTTGGCCTGTTTTGTCTGCTGCCTTCCCCACACCGTCTGTCTAACAGGGCCTGGTATACTGTAGGAACTCGATCTATAGTGAAGGAGTGAGTGAATAAGCAAATGAACTCCGTGGGACTGGTTTGTTTTTAAGTTACTGTGATTTATTTAAGTTTATGATCTCAAATGTTTCTATTTCTTGTTTTTAATATATTTTTATTGATTTCAGAGAGGGCGAGAGAGAAACATCAATGATGAGAGAGAAACATTGATTGGCTGCCTCCTGCATGCCTACTGGGGATTGAGCCTACAATCCCGGCATGTGCCCTGACCAGGAATTGAACTGTGACCTCCTGGTTCATAGGTCGACATTCAACCTCTGAGCCACATCATCCGGGTTACTTCTTTGAGTCCGTTTTTTACCAGTTTTATTGAGATGTGATTTAGAACAAGACTCACCAATGGTAAATGTACAGCTTGATGCATTTGACAAATGTTTATACTTGTGTAACCACCACCGCATTTAAGCCTCTTTGCAGTCAATCCCTTCCACCTGCCTCTGCAACCATTGATCTACTTTCTGTCACTATAGTTTTTCCTTTTCTAGAATTTCATTTAAACGGAAGCTTGCGATACATAGTCTCTTGTGCCCAGCTTTTTCCACCTCACATAATGCTTTTGAGATTTATCCATGTTGTTGGTCAGTGTGTTCCTTTTTTATATCTGAGTAATATTCCATTCTATGAAAATATGCATATATATAAATTGTTTATTCATTCACTTATTAATGCACATTGGGGTAGTTTTCAATTTTATACTATTATGAATTTAAGTGTAGGTATTTGTATGGACATATTTTTTCATTCTTGAGTAAATACCTAGGAGTGGAATTGCTGTATCATGTAGCAAATGTGTGTTAAACTTTGTACAAAACTGTCAAACTATTTTCCAAATTGCATTCCTACCAGCAATGTATGAGAATTACAGTTGCTCTACATCCCCACCCATGCACTGTCAATCTTAATTTTAGCTACTCAGTACCTAGATAGTGGCATCTCATTGTGATTTTGATTTACATTTTCTTAATAACTGGTGATGTTGATCATTTTTTAAAATGTGTTTTCTTTTTGGGGGGCGAGGGGGAGGAAAGGGGAGAGAGAGAAAGAGAGAGAGAAATGTGAGAGAGAAACATTGATCGGCTGCCTCCCACACATACCCCAGCTGGGGATGAAACCTACAACCTGGGTTTGTGCCCTGACTGGGAATCGAACCAGCCACCTTTCAGTGCACAGTATGATGGCCAACCAACTGAGCCATACTAGCCAGGGCAATATTGATCATTTTTTGAATTTGTTGTTTGGTCATTTGTATGTCTTCTTTTTTCCAAATGCCTGTTTAGATGTTTTGCCAATTTTTGTTTTTTCTTTTTAAAAAAATCTTTATTGTTAGGGTTATTACAGATGTCTACCCCTTCCCTCCTCCCCATTATCCCCTTCACCGGTTCCTGCCCCACCCCAGACCTTCACCACCCTATTGTCGTGTCCATAGGTAATGCATATCCTATATAATAAAAGCCTAATATGCTAAGTGTCTGGTCATCCAGTCGACCGTTCAACCAATCAAAGCGTAATAGGCTAATGATATGCTAAGGCCGCTCAACCGCTCGCTATGACGTGCACTGACCACCAGGAGGCAGACGCTCCAACCGGTAGGTTAGCTTGCTGCTGGTGTCTGGCAGATTGGGACTGAGCAAGACAGGCCGGTCACACCCTGGAGTCCTCCCGTGGTCTCTCCCAGGCTGGCCAACCTCCTGTGTCCCTCCCCAGCCCTGCTCATGCACCAGTGGGGTCCCTCAGCCTGGCCTGCACCCTCTCGCAATCTGGGACCCCCTTGGGGGATGTCGGAGAGTCAGTTTCAGCCTGGTGGTGGAACAGCCAGTCGCTGTGATGTGCACTGACCACCAGGGGACAGATGCTCAATGCAGGAGCTGCCCCCTGATGGTCAGTGCACTCCCACAGGGCGAGCACCGCTCAGCCAGAAGCCGGGCTCACAGTTGGCGAGCGCAGCGGCAGTGGTGGCAGCCTCCATGGCAGCACTAAGGATGTCCAACTGATGCCGCCGCGGGCCTAAGCCATCAGTCAGACATCCTCCAAGGGCTCCCGGACTGAGGCTGGGCTGAGGGATCTCCCACCCCACCGAATGCATGAATTTTGTGCACCAGGCCTCTAGTATGCTTATAAATTCTTTGGTTAATCTCTTCCTGCCCCCCTTTGCCTGCTTCCCTCTGAGATTCTTCAGTCTGTTCCATGTTCCCATGCCTCTGGTTCTATTTTATTGATCAGTTTATTTTGTTCATTAGATTATTTTGATTTTTAGATTCAATTGTTGATTGTTTTGCCACTGTTTAAATTGAGTTATTCTTATTGAGTTGTAGGAGTTCTTTATGTATTTTGGAGACATTGACTTATCAAAAATATTTTTCAAATATTTTCTCCTATTGCATGGCTTGCCTTTTCATTTTTGTAATAGTGTTTTTGGTTTTGCTTTTTAAATATATTTTTATTGATTTCAGAGAGGAAGGGAGAGGGAGAGAGAGATAGAAACATCAATAATGGGAGAGAATTGATTGGCTGCCTCCCACACTGGGAATTGAGCCTGCAACCCTGGGCATGTGCCCTGACTGGGAATCGAACCATGACCTCCTGGTTCATAGGTTGATGCTCAACCACTGAGCCACACTGGCTGGGCTGTAATAGTGTAT